CTATTTATTATTTTCAAAGCAAAGTTTTTATTATATGAATTATCTGAGTTTCTCTCCTCTAAAGCAAAACATTCCTGAAGTAAATCTAAGCTTGGTTATCCTCTCTGGTTCTGCACCTACACATCCGGTTCTGCCAAAAGAACCAAACAACAAGACCGAACAGAACCAGGAGAGCCACAGATCTCATCAGAACACCCAGAACATCAGAGATGAAGCTGCAGAGTGGAGGGAAGACCAGGATGTGCAGAGGTCCGCTCTCCTTCTCACTGATCGGGTTCTGAATTTTGCAGATGATCTTTTCAACCGATGACATCTGAATCTTTGTGAGCATCCAGTCCTGTCCTGATTCCTTCCAGGCTCCATCTTCTCTCAGCTTCCAGAAGTACTGAACGGGTCCAGAGTCTCTGACGTCTCCATTGCAGGTCAGGTTGCATGAGTCCGAGTTCTTGTAGCAAGTTGTTGGGTTTTTCAGAACCACTGCAGGTTCAGGGAGAGGCTTGATCCCCACAGCGTTAAAGCTGACAGGAAGGACCCTGTTGTTGATCTCCACCGTGAACTTCCCGTCGTCAGATTTTCTCATGTCTTTGACAGTCAGTACTCCGGTGGTCAGGTCCACGTTTGTTCGGCCTTTTAAGTCACTCAGATATTCCAGAGGAACCGAATCCTTTATGTATTCAGCTACAACGTTCCCCTTATGCTTCCAGGTGATGCTGGTGATCTCACCAGAGGACATTGGGTTGAGCGTCAGAGTGCCGCCGATCTCAAAGTATTTATCCTCCTGAGCAGCAGCCTGCAGCGCCAGCAGCAGCAGCAGCACAGCAGCAGATCGAACCTCCATGTTCTCAACTGTTGAAACGATGACAGAAACACCCTGAAAGGACCAACAGCGGCTTAGAGCCACATCCCCTCCAAGCTTCCTGTTCTGGTTTCTGATACATTTACCTTTCTGATGACTACAGGAGAGCTGCTAGTGACTACTCACAGTTACTGGAGTAACTTTTTTTTATTACAAAGTACCTTTAGGAGTATTTTTATGACACTTTTTATTTTTACTTCCATAATATTTTATGAAGTCTCACTACTCTCAATTGAATAAAATGAATGGATACTCTACAAACTGCAAGTAACTTCACTGAATGAAATCAAACATTTTAATCAAAAATGTTCTGGATTCAGTCTCAAACTCAGTTTATGTTTAAGTGAGACCTCCTGTTTGTACACAATCTTTGTTGTTCTGTTATTTTCTATTTGGAGATCAGGTGAATATGCAGTAACCTGTATATATCAATGGAAGTATTTTACCCTCTGCACACATTACCATATGTATTAATTTAATACATTTTATTTTGAATAACTAATTTGGAAAACTTTGTTCTGCCTGAATGTTGTAAACGTACCCATGTTGATTTTTGTTCGTCTAAAACATGAGAATTTACACATAACTTCACATTTTTGTCAGAATGATTATGATGACATCATTTTAAATATTAAATCTGATTTGACTTGAGTAGCTTTTATCAAATACTTTAGTTATTCAGATGGCTACTTTTTACTTTTACTTGAGTAAAATTGTTTTGAAGCTATCGAGTACATTTTGGTTCCTCTACTCACCTCTGATTGCATCTGTGATGTAGCAGAAATAACCATAAAAAGTCTTCATGTTCTGCCTGGTAACAGTTTTTATCTGTCAGATTATCCTGGAGGTGTTTTAACAGCAGCAGATGGACTTCATCACTTCAACCACATTAGTTTGTTTTTAGACTTCCTGCTGAGCATAAAGTCCTGACTGTAGTATTTAACCCACAATCCCACTGCAGAGCTTCAGCTTGAAACATTCACAGTTCAACTAAATAACTCATTGGAAAAAAAAACAAGAAAAAGACACCAAGTCTGCCTAATGTGACTCAGATCTAAATGGATTCATTTAAATCGCTACAGGAGGTTCAACATTTTCATGGTTTAGGTTTTACTGTTTGAGGCCTGGGTCTGATCACATGACATGAGCATGCTCTCTGATTGGCTGAACCTCACTGGGGGCTTCACATTTTTCATTTAATAATCTGATACTTTCAGGTCCGACTGTCATATTTTAAGGCCCTGATACAACAAACCAGGCAGGTGTTAGAAGGTCAGAGAAACGTTTACTCGTCACTGAAAAAGAAAAAAAATACAACAGACAAATAATATTGGCAGTTTCAACCTAAAATACAGTTTAATGTTGAAAATACATAATTAAATAAAATTACTCTGCACAACAAAATACAAACACACAGGGATAGATGACTGCTAAGTCAGAAACAAGAGGCAAAATGCTAATTGTACAAAAGACTATTTGTTTTCAGCCTTTAGTTTTCTAAAGGTTTTATATGTAGTATTTTTATAAGTCAGTGAAGCTCCAGTTCCTGCTGTCTGGATGTCCTACCCACACATTTCTTTAAGAAAGTTCTGCCTGTTGTTGCTAATGATCTGATCCAAATAGTAACTCATCGCTCTCTTCAGGTGTTTTATCCCAGGCTTTGAAAACAGCAGTTATCAAACCACTGATAAAAAAGAACAATCTGGACAAATCACTACTGCAGAATTACAGGCCGACCTCTGACCTCTGTCACCATGCCAACACACTGAGGAGAGATCTGATTGGCTGCTGCAGGTCGTGTGGTTATCCAGAGGAGAGCAGAGGGAAGCAGTTTCCCCCTGATGAGGTTTGTCAGCAGAACATCCACTGAGCTGGACTCTGTAGCCTCAGTCAGGATCTCCTTGTTGTGGAAGTCCAGAGGAAGTCTGCTCTCATCCAAGCCATCAAAGATGAACAGAACCTGGAAGTGTTCAAAGCTGCAGATTTCCTTGGTTTCAGTAAAGAAGTGATGAACAAGTCCCACCAAGCTGAACTTTTTCTCTCTCAGCACATTCAGCTCTCTGAAGGTGAACGGAAATATGAGCTGGATGTTCTGGTGGACTTTGTCTTCAGCCCAGTCCAGAGTGAACTTCTGTGTTAAGACTGTTTTCCCAATGCCAGCCACTCCCTTTGTCATCACTGTTCTGATTGGTTGATCTCTTTCATGTTGGACTTTAAAGATGTCTTCTTGTCTGATTGTTGTTTCTGGTCTGTGAGGTTTCCTGGGTGCTCTTTCAATCTGTCTGACCTCATGTTCATCATTGACCTCTCCAGTCCCTCCCTCTGTGATGTAGAGCTCTGTGTAGATCTGGTTCAGAAGGGTTGGACTTCCTGCTGTAGCGATTCCCTCAAACACAGACTGGAACTTCTTCTTCAGACCAGATTTAAGTTCATGTTGACAAACTGCAGCAAGATGCTCTAAATAACACAAAAAGTAAAATCAGGAAAGAAAGAAAATAATCTTCTTCAAATTATTTTGATAACTGTGGTTCCATCTCGTTATTAAATGTCTGATTTCTCCATCAGGTTAAATCTTTGTAGAAATCTTTACTGCTCTGCAGACGGTCTCTAACCAACCACTGTCCTTTGTCACATGTGACAGAAAAAAATATCAGCTAAAATCAGAATTGGCAGGTCAGACATTTTAAAGATCAGTAGTTGACCAGTAAAATATTTCTGATAAACATTACCAAGAGACATAAAAACATACTTTTGTCTTTTTTGTCTTCTTCTCTCCCTGAAGGATTAGTCCCTTTTTACAACGTTGTTTTGCTAACTTATCTTCCACTGGTGCTTTGGAAGTTTGGATGCTCTTTGCACATTGCATGGCAGGTCATACACCTGGTGAAGCATGACCTACCACGGCCACCAGGGGGCACCAACGAGCGATTTATTTTTTTTGATGTCCATATAAACAATGATTTCTACATAATCAAAGGTCCGTAAAAAAATTTAAAAATCAGCTCCACTTCGGGGCCCTAAGCAACAGCTTGGTTTGCTTATGCCTTGGGCCGGCCCAGAGTGCTTGCAGTTTATCAGCTTGTTCTCTAATAGTTTGTTTCTGACATACAGCAGGTTCCACCCTGATGTCCTTCAGCCTGATCACAACTCAACTTTATAGGGGGGCACTTCCTGTTAGTCGTCCAGTCAGATCTGAAGTGAGATTTTATTTCCTGGCTTGGTTCCCAGAGCTCCAGGTTGAGCTGCTTCCTGAGCTGCATGTCACCGCTCTGTGTTGAGCCGTTTCATTTCCAGAACCTGCATTTATCTGGATATTAACCTCCAGAGAAATCTTCATTTCTCCTGCCTGAAGTTTTTGCATAATAGTGAGCTGGTCGATTATTGCATTCAACTTATTCACATTATTTTAATGGAAACACTTCATTTGTGAAAATCAGAAAAGATTTGCGCAGATTTGTAATGGAAACGCTGTTTTGTTTCAGGCTGAACATATAAACATCAGTATCCGTATTTTTCTTCAACGTTTATTGTAAAATGTTTTTACTTTTGTTTTCTCGTTAATCCCTGAGCTGCTTCACATTAACGATGGATGGAGTCGACCCACCAGTTCAAATCCACCCGTCATGTTTACCCAGCTCTCCTTACTGGTCCGGTTCGGCCCACTGACTTCAAACAAACCCAAAACCTCAGGATCAGAGATTCCCACAGCATGACACCTGCTTTACCGTGCTTCAGTGCAACTGCGACAAATTCAGAGGTTTGGGATTAATGTTGATTCATCCAAGGCAGATAAATAAAGAAATTATCTATTTTTAAACTGATGATTTTCTACTCATTAAACCACAAAGACAAAAAAACAACACAGGAAGAGAAAATTAATATTTTTACTCAAAGTAAAACCAAAGATCCCTGTAGATACAATAACATCCATTTAGTAATATTTTATTCATCTCAGTATTTACAGAGTAAAGAAAGGCTGTCAGGAATGTTGTAGTGTTTTTAGTCCAGGAGCTTCGATCCCTTTAAAAATCCTTGATTATTATTAAAATGAACATAAATCCGACTCATTTACAGGTTTTACTTCTCTGGTGATTTTCTTTATGATTCAATCAAACAACTGACTAATTTAGCAGTTTATCCATCCTTACTGGAAAAAAAAAATCAGGATTTAACATGTCAAAGTTTATCAGAATTTACTACAAAATTAACTTTAAAATAATTAGGGTTGGTCCCATAAATGTGCAGATTTAAAGTGCAGAGATTTTCTCACCTAGGAGAGTTAGAGATGCTGTAGAATGAACCAGGAATTCGTCTTTAGAGGCTTTTATCAAAAATTATAGGTTTTTATTCCAATTTTAGGATTTAATCAGTAGGAAAACTCAGATAGTTTGAACCCTAAACCTGATGTTGGGCTGATTTCTGGCTGGGAAACTGACATTTTACAGAATATCAGGAAGTAAACAGGAAGTAAATAAATCTATTATTGGTCGTTTTCAGAATATTTGAGGATGAACATGAATGCAGCAAAAACAAAATATTACCAAGTATTTCGGTCTAGTTCTAGTGCAAATATCTTTGAAATATGATTAAAGTCACTTTAATATTGATGGAAACCAATTAGTTACTCTGGCTGAGTATTTCACTTATGTCAGCAAAATGCCATTAATATCTGTATCTTGCTGAAGGTTTAAGTGTAAGTTAGTTTTGTCTCGTTTCCAGTGAACTGAGACGTTTGGACCAGAAACCAGACAGGAATCCTTGGTGACATTTGGAGTTTTAGAGTGTTAAACATCAGAGAGGCACAGTTATTACCAGCCACCGTTTCTTCCTCAGTTCAAAATGAGTTCAGGTAGAAAAATCGACCGGAGTTCAGGAAAGATGTGAAAACCCAGAGTTTCCATCAGAATCACATTTCAGCGTGTAAACGGGTCAGAATCCAGATCTACATGCTGCGGCTTCGCTCTGATAGCTTCCACATCGTGACTCGGCATCGCCTCTGTTTTAAAAATAATCTGTGATCCAGTTCAGTTCCTGACCTGCTCACTGTCGGCCACCAGGGGGCAGCAAAGCTTGATTCATATAAAATGGAAAATATTAAACATCACTTGATCTTCACCTGAGCTGCCAGGTGTTACATCATCATCATCACTTTCACTGAAAGTGAAGAAAGTTTCTCTAACGGATCAGAACCACGACCCGGTTCAGATTAAAGCTCTGCTCCCAGCAGATCATGTTTCCCAGCTGATTCTGGGTTCAGTGAACTTTGACCTGGCTTCATTCAGAGCGACGGCCAGAGGAATGTTTAAAGTTTGTGCTTCACTTCCTGCCAGAGGCAGCAACACCTGGAGAGAAAAACCTGAGGAGGAACCGAGGAGAACCCGGCAGGCGGCGACCCGGAGACTCTCCGTCTTAAAGGGCCGGTACGCCGCGCTGACGCAGCCGCTCCCTCTGGACCGAAACGAAGACCAGAGCTTCACTGGTGGTTTGATTTCAGTTTTTTATCTTCATACAGCAGAGCCTGCAGAGAGAAACGAGAGTCTGGAGATAAAACTCTGAGCAGTTTCCTTTTGTTTTCAACGTGTGGAAACGATCTGATGATGATTTAAACGGGTCTGAGAGGATCCCTGAAGATGCTTTAGTGTTTCCCCTCAGCGTTTTGAAGGTTCTGGATCTGCAGCCTCACCTTGTTCTCCAGAACCCGGCTGCTGCTCAGCTCCTCCAGAGTGTCGGCTGCAGGTCTGTTCAGGGTCTCTGGCAGCAGGAGGCCCAGGCAGCCAGCAGACAAACCGCTCAGACAGAACACCGTGAAGGGCATGGAGGCGTGCAGCGCGCGCTGAAACACGAGAGATGTTTACACTACAGCAACACCTGAGGGACACAAACATACTGACAGAAACATCACTTATAACTCCTGACTGTTATGGGATGAATCACGTCTCCAGTTTAAACCTGAAAACTGCATTTAAATTGAAGAAGTTTTTTCTAATAGTGTCTAAATACTTTTGACTGATGACTAAAAAAAGACTGAATATAAATATTTACAATGAAAATCCCCAAAATTAACACTTTCACTATTAGCATGCTGTGCTAATGTTTAAATTGCATCAGGTGTTATCAAGCTAAACATCAGCACTCAGTCCTGGTGTTAGCTTTAGCATGTTAGCATGGCATTATAACAAGCTATGATCATCACAGTGTAAATATTTTGGTCTGACAGTAATTATAGTTTTCATTCTATTATTTCTGGACTGATGTTAGCATGCTTATATTAGCACTCACATGCTAACAGTGTAAAAATAATTAGTTTGGTTCTTCAGTGTCAGTATTCTAACACAATAGCAAGCGGTGAACTTGGTGTTAGCATGCTAACAATAGCAGGATGAAGCATAGAGAGAAGAAGGAAGTTTAAACCATTTTTTCTGTCTGACCAGACAAAGAGGAGCAGCAAAAGCAAAGGAGGTGGATTAGCAGAGCTAGCTAACAACTGATGGAGACATTCAGGACATGTTGCTGTGAAACATCATCTCTGCTGCCTGGATGTTGAGCCGTTAGCATGTCAGGACAGTCATGAAAGGATCAGGCAGCAACAGTCTTCAGTCAGAGGCATCTTCATACTGGCTGCAAGACTGACTGCTACCAAACGTCCTTCCTGAACACAGCATCACTGTCTGAAACAACTTTTAAATCACTTTGATACGAGTTATGACAACTTTATCATCAGCGGCATCATCTCTTTGTTTCAGACGCATAAGAAGGTCTGTAGTAAAAATATTTAAATTTTCCTTTGGAATTAAAAAAAAAGTATTTCTGATTTAACTGATACGGCAACTGTCTGAAAACAATAATTAGCTGTCCCTTTAAGGTTAGCATGCTAACACTATGCTAAGAATAAAGTTTTTATGTTGCTACAAGAAATGTTTTTCTTGAATCTTGATTATTTTTTAATCTTTGGGCAAATAAAAACTGCCCAAAACAACAAAGAGTATAAAATAAGTGAAATGATGTAAAAGCCGTTCAGCAGAATTGGAGCTGGAAGCTGTGGATCTTCTGTCTAAAAGCTTTTGGTCTTTTAGCACCATTTCCTTGGTGGCAGCAGTTCATGCCGAGTTCTGACGAGTCGCCAACCATAAAACTTTATATTTCATTATTTCCTATTATCATTTTCTAACAACAATCCAGGCAACTTGTTTGATTTCACTTCAGTGATTCCAAACTGCTGCGTCTTGGTTCCTCCAAGTTAAATCTTTATTTTTTAGTTTTGAGGTGAAAAATGCCGAAACCTAAACTGTTCCTATCTGCAGTTCTCAGAAGCTCCACCAGGGGTCGCCACATGCTCACGCTTCACTGCTGAAGGACGCAAATGGACTGGAAAGTCCCGAGATTTCTTTAGTTTCTTGGGTATTTTGGCCTCTGACCCAACATAGTGTTAGTGAAACTGTTTAATGAGATGTTAAAGTTATCTCTGAGGAAAAGTTGGCAAGTGCAGCGCCTTCAGATGGAGGTGTGGTCGGCTGTTTACATAAACATCTCCATGACAACGCAGTCCTCTGTAGTTTCTGACTCTAGAAACGTTACTGTGGTTCATTTTCAGCCTGAATCATCAGACTGGAGTGAAGCTGCAGCGTAAATTCATGTTCAGGCAGCTTCACCTGCTGACTCTGCATCTCTGCAGTCAAACACTTTCTATCTGCTGCAACCCAAGCTGCTGTCCTCGTCAGCCATGTTTCCAATCAGAAAGACGGTCCTCAGACCACCAGAGGCCAGCAGGTCAGTCAGGACATGAGTTGATGGAGTCCAGATGGTCGGAGGGAGAGCGACCACGCCCTGGAAAATCTGAACCGGACTGAAGGAGGAGGGCGGTTCTGATCTTAAACTAAAACTATCCTACCTGTGAAACAGCTGCCGGAAAGTCCATCTGCTGGAGGAACACAGCAGGAAATGGTGGTGAGCAGGAGAGAGAATCCGCCGAATGGCACGCGGCGCGTCGTCTCAAACAGACTCCTCATTTAAAACCAGCATTTAAAAGATTCCTGAACTGTGAGGAACTTGAATCTAACTGGGCTCGTGTCTCTACATGCTGCCAGTTAGCAGAGGAAGTGATCTGAAAATAACTCTGAGTTACTGAAAACACCTAATATGGAGCCCAGTGGAGGATCTGAAGGCATAAACTGAAAATATAAAAGTAAATAAAGATTAAACTGCGTTTTGCCTCTGGAAGATGAACCTCAGCTCTGGTCGATTGTGACCTTAAACAGTTTCTAACTTCCTCTGATGCATTTTAAGGATGTTATGAAAGTCTAAGAAGTGGAAGTGTTTAACAAAGTTTTCCATTATTGCACCATACCTTACATATTTTTAATATTTTCCCTTGAATCAAAAAATCAAACAGCTGAATAATCCGAGTCAAAAATCACCGTCACACAAACATGTTTGGGTTTATTTGGATCCATCTCCTGGTTTTCTGAACCATAAAATCAGCATCTAACACTTTATACCCATTTTAATAACTATATTTAATAACTATATCAAAGCATTGCTGCTGTTTTTATTTAGCTGCTGATCAACTCAAGGCAGCAGCTTCTTAAAGGAACAAGATCCGGTTCACTTATTTAAATAACTCAAAGACGCTGTTAGCATGCTAACAGTAGCATCACTGTCACGATGTTGAGTCATTAAATCATCATCTTTCCTCTGAAGTCAAAGGAAACCAGAGACAACATGACTGGAAACTGATGATGAACCTGCAGCTTCAGTCACTGAGAAAAAGGCAAGAAAAACATCAGGAGCATTTATTACAGGGAGAGAGAGAGAGAG